CATCTTGTGCTTACTTCCTTGCGTACGGATGACAGCTGCGTATGACTTCATTTACTTTCTGGGACTTCCACTTCCAGAGACAGTTTAAAGAATTGTGTAACTGCCTCGAGAGTGCTTGACCATATTAACACAACGTGGTGCAACCATCACCCTTGCGCGGAGTGAGGGTTCTCCAGCCTGCACAACATGATCTACTCGACCAACATTATGGTTACCGCCAAAAAGAAAGCAGAGGTAAAATAAAAAACGGTAACCAGGTTGCCGAGTTCACGAAATGAATTGGCTTGTTTAACAACGTCGTTGCCAAGCGACGGAAACCCAACCCCGATGGCAAACACCGAGGGGGACGGCTTGTTTTACAACGTCGTTGCCAAGCGACGAAAACCCAACCCCGATGGCAAACACCGAGGGGGACGGCTTGTTTTACAACGTCGTTGCCAAGCGACGAAAACCCAACCCCGATGGCAAACACCGAGGGGGACGGCTTGTTTTACAACGTCGTTGCCAAGCGACGAAAACCCAACCCCGATGGCAAACACCGAGGGGGACGGCTTGTTTTACAACGTCGTTGCCAAGCGACGAAAACCCAACCCCGATGGCAAACACCGAGGGGGACGGCTTGTTTTACAACGTCGTTGCCAAGCGACGAAAACCCAACCCCGATGGCAAACACCGAGGGGGACGGCTTGTTTTACAACGTCGTTGCCAAGCGACGAAAACCCAACCCCGATGGCAAACACCGAGGGGGACGGCTTGTTTTACAACGTCGTTGCCAAGCGACGAAAACCCAACCCCGATGGCAAACACCGAGGGGGACGGCTTGTTTTACAACGTCGTTGCCAAGCGACGAAAACCCAACCCCGATGGCAAACACCGAGGGGGACGGCTTGTTTTACAACGTCGTTGCCAAGCGACGAAAACCCAACCCCGATGGCAAACACCGAGGGGGACGGCTTGTTTTACAACGTCGTTGCCAAGCGACGAAAACCCAACCCCGATGGCAAACACCGAGGGGGACGGCTTGTTTTACAACGTCGTTGCCAAGCGACGAAAACCCAACCCCGATGGCAAACACCGAGGGGGACGGCTTGTTTTACAACGTCGTTGCCAAGCGACGAAAACCCAACCCCGATGGCAAACACCGAGGGGGACGGCTTGTTTTACAACGTCGTTGCCAAGCGACGAAAACCCAACCCCGATGGCAAACACCGAGGGGGACGGCTTGTTTTACAACGTCGTTGCCAAGCGACGAAAACCCAACCCCGATGGCAAACACCGAGGGGGACGGCTTGTTTTACAACGTCGTTGCCAAGCGACGAAAACCCAACCCCGATGGCAAACACCGAGGGGGACGGCTTGTTTTACAACGTCGTTGCCAAGCGACGAAAACCCAACCCCGATGGCAAACACCGAGGGGGACGGCTTGTTTTACAACGTCGTTGCCAAGCGACGAAAACCCAACCCCGATGGCAAACACCGAGGGGGACGGCTTGTTTTACAACGTCGTTGCCAAGCGACGAAAACCCAACCCCGATGGCAAACACCGAGGGGGACGGCTTGTTTTACAACGTCGTTGCCAAGCGACGAAAACCCAACCCCGATGGCAAACACCGAGGGGGACGGCTTGTTTTACAACGTCGTTGCCAAGCGACGAAAACCCAACCCCGATGGCAAACACCGAGGGGGACGGCTTGTTTTACAACGTCGTTGCCAAGCGACGAAAACCCAACCCCGATGGCAAACACCGAGGGGGACGGCTTGTTTTACAACGTCGTTGCCAAGCGACGAAAACCCAACCCCGATGGCAAACACCGAGGGGGACGGCTTGTTTTACAACGTCGTTGCCAAGCGACGAAAACCCAACCCCGATGGCAAACACCGAGGGGGACGGCTTGTTTTACAACGTCGTTGCCAAGCGACGAAAACCCAACCCCGATGGCAAACACCGAGGGGGACGGCTTGTTTTACAACGTCGTTGCCAAGCGACGAAAACCCAACCCCGATGGCAAACACCGAGGGGGACGGCTTGTTTTACAACGTCGTTGCCAAGCGACGAAAACCCAACCCCGATGGCAAACACCGAGGGGGACGGCTTGTTTTACAACGTCGTTGCCAAGCGACGAAAACCCAACCCCGATGGCAAACACCGAGGGGGACGGCTTGTTTTACAACGTCGTTGCCAAGCGACGAAAACCCAACCCCGATGGCAAACACCGGGGGGGGGTGGGGAAAAAATTAGAACGATAGCCTCAAAGGGTTCTCAAGTTTCTTCCGGTTTCTTTTGGAGGGGATGGCGTTCTCATGACCGGGGGGGTTCTCGAAAGAACTTGGAACTAATTCTTGCGGAAGGCTTGTCGCATACGCACAGTGGTTTGCGGCTCCATCAGGGTGAAGAAAATCAACTGCTGCATTCACAACGAGCAGTGACGGTTGATATTCTTGAACGCCACACCATTCCTGAACGAAGCACAGCCGCGCTTTCCTTCGCATCTTTATCTTGTTAATCCCGTTTGCTTATCAATCTGACTTCGTTCTGGCAGGCGATTCCACCCCTGTTGTTCTAGCTCTACTGCCTGCGAGGTCAGCACATCCACAAGCTCGACGGTATCCCTGATCAGCTGGTGTAGTTCACGGCAAGTGCTAGCTGCGCCAGGGCGATCTCGCAAGAGCTTGCGTGATGAAATCCCCTTGCCTTTAGGTGGTTTCTGCTCGGCAAATTCGCAGAGAGGGCGAAGTGATACGTGAATTGTACGAGTTGGAGCAAAGCGCTGACCACAGTTTAACCCTTTCGCAACACCGTACTACAGCTTGCCAGACGCAATAATCGTGGTCAGGTTTCCGATGCGCCGTTCGGCAACTCTCAAGACCGGCACATCACAGCTATGCACCCTGGGAGCGTAGAGGGTAAAATCACCTTAAATTGGGTGCACCTGGTCGCCGCTACGTCGCTGCTACCGCAGACCCCACCGCGAGTAGCGTGGAAGGCTTTCTCCAGTCTGGTCGATCAGGACACGAGAAAAGCCTAGATAGGTAACTGCAACGGTTCCGGTTCTCATTTCTTTTGACTAAGCAAGAACTTCCAACACAAAGACAAATTGCTACGCCATAAGAGGTCACGTCTCGCCAATGCTCATTGACTTGACGGCTGTACTTAATCCATGCAGATTGGACACAACTCGCTGGCAGTGTAATGCGACACTCATATCACATCGAACTAGCATGCCGCCTTGCGCAGCCACTAAACCAACGTGTGACATCCTTTCTAGCACATGAGAAATCGCCAATGGAGGACCCTCGTGCAAGGGGGGTATACAGCAGGCAAAAAATAAAGTCCAATCGGTAGAGAGTCTGAACAAAGAAAAAATTTCGTGCGAAACAGGATAACCCTTACCTTGCATAGTCTCCCTTGACAAAGGAGTTGATCGAAATGGTTGGTCTGAACTCATCAAGATATCTCAAGCCGCAACCGCCTCGCCCTTGTTCACGGTCGAATTTCGACGCTTTATCTCCGTTCTCCATCTTCAAGACGTGCAACCTCCCCTTCACTCGGTGAGGCACATACAATGTGTTTTCGCCCAGGTCTCGGGACCACCGGGTCGCTTTGTGTATCATCTCGATTTGGCTGGTTGCGCACAGCGGGTTGCGCACAGCGGCGGCCGTCAGAGTCGGCAAAGCGGGTGGGCGTTGTGTGTAGCGTAGGGGGGGATGTGGGAACACGCCAAGTTCGTAGGAGTTACAAGCTTGACCAGCAAGCTCTTCGTACACGTGTACACGCGTTTTGGGACTTTTGGGGCTACCCAGTACCCACTTGTACACAAGTCAGTCGATCGGTTTTCTTGCTCACCTGTCCTCATTGGCCCTTGCTTCCGCCCAAAGCGTCCTGGCGAAAGCTTTCTCTTCTTTCCTAGCCTGTTTGGCGTGTTCGCGGAGATAGCTTCGTCGAAGAACGGTTCAAGCCCGGCACGTGCAGCAGATTTGACGACAGGTGTGAGTTGTTGTAGATAGGTCGTGAAGTGCTTCTAGATATGTGTTGAGAAGCACGATGACCAAAAAATAGACCACAGTCATCGTGCTTCTCAACAAAAGCTAAAATCCGGGGTTCGAATCTCCCCTTGAGCATTGCATCCTTCGAGGACCTTATTTGCGCCCGAAGGAAGAGGAAGACAAAAGCCTGAAGAACTAGGCTTCTCACAATAAGTCGATGACCTACTTGTACCGATTTGGTAAGCACAGCGCTGATCACAGGGATGGACACCCTGGCGGGAACGTGTTCGTGGCTTGAAAGGAAGCTGGACGGACTCGGGCATTAACTTTTGTTGAGAAGCACGATGACCACTAGACCACTCAGCGCTGACTAGCGGTCTAGTGATCATCGTGCTTCTAAACAATATGAACTATTGATGGCTCTATATGTGATGGTGCACCTGACTACAAATGATGTACGTACACCGTCATGCTCTAGTTGTGATGAGTCTCAGCTGCAGGTAGCTGGAGGTAAAATGCAAGGCTACCCACAACTCCAGTACGGTATCGAGCACGCGCCCGCTAGCTGGCGCGCCTCCATGCTGTACTTGGCTGTACCATAAAGTCTGTAGCGAGACCAGCTTACCGAATAGAAATATCACGACCCCTCTCGATATCCCTCTGACGAACAGCGTCGAGCTCCTGGAGATACGTCCTGTTGATATCAAGATCCCTATCTCGAGCTAGCTCGTGTCGACCTGCACCAACACATCTCTCAATATTATTGTAGTTCCTCCCACGGTTTGCACCGACGCACGAGTCATCGGCGGTCCTACGATGTCCACCGGTTTCTCTCCCCCATGACGTCAACGGGGTCGGCAATAACCTTGCTGAACCCTGCTGCTGCTGCGCCCACCCTGCTACGTTCAGTTGATATCCAGTAAGACCATCGTTTGGGCGAGCCCGTTCGAGTGTCCCTGTTGATGTCGATTGACGAGGTTGTTGCTTGTCCTTGTCCACTACTGTGTGTCTCAGTGTTGCCCATGCTTGCAGCTCCGCTTTACTTATCGCGTTCAAGGTCGAAACATTCGCCAGGCTTGGCGAAAGAAGTTTCTCACGGTTGGGGCTTACGCAAGGCGAGCGGCGCTCGGATCTCCCGGGTGGCGCAGAACCCGGTCGTTCTCTTGCACCCGAACGCGATCGTGATGTTGGTGTTCTTGGTCGTATCTATAAGTGGTCGGGGGGCGTTCCGAAAGCCCAGCTTACAAGAAGACTTGAAATCGAAACTTGCTACGAGGATTAGTTTACAGCAGTAGTACAAGAGTGGCACAAATTTAATGCAGATAGACAAGCTGTACGGTCGCCCAAGCTACATGGCACAATACACAGCACACATTAGACTCTGCTACTGCTGTACGCGTATTTTCCTCAAGTTCATTCCAACAGTGCATCGAAACATGCCTTCCTGGCTCCTGTAGTCACGCGTTCGCGCACCGCTGATATCACACGGTGATGTATTTCCAAGGCAGCTTGGGTGGCATCCTCCCACGAATCATCGTCGTTCATCGCGACAACCCGCGTCCTCTGTACTGCTGCCGTAGAAAATGCGGGCCTCTGATGACGTTCAGAATATCGGTCCAAAGGAAGTTGCAGTTGCTTTCAACCATGAGTGGCGTTTACATGAAGGCCGCCCAAACGGCGTATATGCATTCTGTAGGTAGACCAAACAGTTTTTTTTGTTCTGAACAACAGCATAGGAGTTTCGTGGCCGCACGCGAAACAAATAGGATGATCTACGAAATACTTTCTTGGTATCGAACATGAACGTGATAGTCTAAGTCGCGACGAACGATGTACACGACCCCATGAATAGCAGGAAGGGTTGACCACATATGGAGGTACACATTGCCATGGCTTGCACGCAATAATCTCTCGTCTTTGTGTTCGTTTACTTTGTTTGCTGTCGATATTCGAAAGGTGATTCTAATATATTGACCGGCAAATCGGCGGCGGGCACAGACATATCGAAAAAAAAGGTCGGCCACATCATGAGTACGTGGCACCGACGCATACGTGGTTACTACTGTACGTGTGGCCAGGTAAGCATCCGGCAGGCAAATGCGTCACCTTCAACCATTGCCTTCGACAAGGTCATACAAGTAACGGTCCTCAAGTGTTTTTGCACCGACGTCAACTTGTTGTCAAGACGCCTCACCCCGCCAGCATCTACCACGGCTGTGCCATTTCTTGGGTGGGTGTACACCACTCTGTATGCGCTAGTACCAAGATTGAACCAAGGGGGTGTACCTCTTTCTCTCCGGCCCGCGATGGTGACTTCTAGTCTCAGTTTTTACCTCGCATAGCGCGCAGAGGGAGTGGAGGATTGAATTTCCAGAATAATATCTGTCGTTGATTTCTCTTGACTTGCGGACCCCTCGGGGCCAGCCTATTTGAGTGTTTGTTGTTGTTGTTGTCTTCACATTAACGACCGTTCCGATCTCTCTCTACCCAGTAGTACCTTCGTATGTCCGTACTGATCCAACACTCGACGCGGTCGATTCCTACCAGCCGGTCGCCCTGGTGATCTAGTCGGTAACCTCGAAACCTTCTAGAGGTCAGGTCAGGGGTTCGAATCCCGGCGCAAGCTATTATTCGATAAAGCTACACCATTAGACTAGTCAGCGCTGACTCAGTAGTCTAATGGAGTAAGCCTTTATTAACAAGTGGTACACGCACGGGTTCGCCAGATGGCCACTTTCACAAGCACCCTTAGTTCTTTTCCTGCAGCGCCTGGCGAGGGGTCCGTCCCCGGAGATCCAAGCCATACAGACCAAGACCCAAGTGATCCAGCCGGGTGCAAATGAGCTCTGATGAGCATATCTTTTATTCGATAAAGCTACACCACCATTAGACTAGTCAGCGCTGACTCAGTAGTCTAATGGAGTAAGCCTTTATTAACAAGTGGTACACGCACGGGTTCGCCAGATGGCCACTTTCACAAGCACCCTTAGTTCTCTTCCTGCAGCGCCTGGCGAGGGTCCGTCCCCGGAGATCCAAGCCGTACAGACCCAAGTGATCCAGCCGGGTGCAAATGAGCTCTGAGCATATCTTTTATTCGATAAAGCTACACCATTAGACGAGTCAGCGCTGACTAGTCTAAGCTGACTCGTCTAATGGTTAGTCTAAGCTGACTCGTCTAATGGTGTAGCTTTATCGAATACAAGCGAGCTTTTCTTGCAAAGTGAGTTTTTCTCTCGCTTCCGCTCCTGGCCTAGTGGATAGCGCTAGTTCGTGCGTACACAGGGGGAAGAGAGTGCTGAACTCTTCTCGCATTAAAAATCGAAGGCAAAGTACCGCAGGAGGGGAGGGTAGAGAGGGGCTCTTCTGTGTGACCACGGTTGGAGTAAAAGTCACTAGCGGCGTGAACGCTGATTTGAAGTGAAGACAAAGAAAAAAAATCCCGTGGTCGCAGGCCAACTCACCCTAAAAAGGTACACTCAAATAGAAAGGTCCCGAGGGGTCCGCAAGTCAAAAGAAACCCTTTAGGGTAACCTGTGACCACGGGAATCGACCGCGTCGAGTGTTGGGTCAGTACGGACATACGAAGGTACTGGGTGGAGAGAGATCGGAACGGTTTTAATGTGAAGACAATAACAACAACAACAACAGCAACAACAACAGCGACAACAACAACAATGCGCTAGGTGCTCAGAGGTCGTCGTGCGTGTATCAAAATCAGACGGCTCCGTCTAGAGTAAACCAGGGTATTAACGAACACCCCCCCTTTAACGAACACTTTTTTCAAATGCACGTCCCTCGGCGCACAATGCGCGGAGCCCCCCAATTTTTTTTTTGTAATCTTCAGCTTTCCGTTAGCTTTCGTTTGAGCACCTCCGCGTGTCGATCGGGTCAAGCACTCCCGAGATACAGCACAGCCCTCACCCACACCCCTTATGTGGGGCATCTTTGCCCTTTTCGGGGTCCTGCTGCTAAGCATGGGACGTAAGAGAGTAGACCCAGAGCAGGCCCAGAAGGCTGTAGATGCGGTACGCAGCGGTGAGATGTCGCTCCGCGTTGCTGCGAGGACCTACGGGTTACCGCTAGCCTCGCTGCACGACCGTGTGAAGAACAAGGTGGCCATAGATGCGAGGGTTGGTCCCGGGACTGTCCTGAGCAAGGAGGAGGAAGATTTCGTAGAAGACGTCTTGATCTACGCCTCCCGACACTTCTTGCTGTTGGGTCGGAGGGAGCTGAGAGACGCTGTGCGCAACATCTGCACCGACGGGCGCAAGGTGCCCTGGGACCCAGACAAGGGCCCTGGGGACAGCTGGCTTGAGGGGTTTATGGCGAGACACCCGGGTTTGTCGGAGCGAGCCACCCACATCTACGAAGCAAACCGGATTAACGAAGACGGCGAGCCTCGCCTTCAAGCTTTCTACAAAGCATGGGCGGAGTACCTGGAGGAGACCAAGCTCCCGCCGGAACGCATCCTCAACACGGATGAGACAAGTGAGTTAGGGCAAGGGTTGAGGTGTCAGTAGGTGTCATTGGGTGTCAGCGGTGTCAGTATCGACTGCTGTGGGTTCGTAGGCGAAGTACCAGCAGCACTGCGATGTGTCACAACAACGCGGAGTTCTGCTGCTGCAAAAAAAAAAGATCCAGCAGTTGTCCCGCATATCTTCCGAGCCGTTGCTGCTTGTCATGCGCGTAGCACACAACACGCCCGCATGTTTGCTGCTGGAGTCGGCTGAGGTTAGCATGTAACAGTCCCTGTGGTCATCTCAGTTGCACTCTGCCGCATGATTGCATGTGTACATCGTTTTCTGTTGTGATGCTACCGGCAACAGCGGGCGTGTGTTCTTGGTCTGCAAAATGCATGTGTGTTGCTGAACGACGCGCGAAGTGCAGACTAGTCTAGTCACGTCGAGACTTCAGTAGAACGCTTTGTTTTTGTAAACCCACCTACGTTTGGAGCTCAATGCAAACTGCCATGGGTGTGGGGTTATTGTTTCGCACCCAAAGTTTAAACGAATCCGACACTTGCCGCACAAAAAATGGCCTTCACCACTGCTGTGTGCCACCACCCGGAGCGAGCAGCACCCATGTGTGTTTGTACGCGCGTTTTTTGTGTGTCTAGTTTACTGATTGTTCAACTGTCTTTACCCCCGATGCGCGCGTGTTGTAGGTTCGACCCCTCAAGGTACAAAGTCGGGGAAGGCAATCGTCGCAAGAGGCACCAAGGTACCCGGCGCGAGGCGTTCCAATTCGCGAGAAAATACGACGGTGGTCGCCACCATCGGTGCCGACGGCCACACGTTCCACCCTACCATCATCTTCAAAGGCCAGCGTATGCAACCCGCTTGGATCCAGGACAACAACGGCGTCCCCGATGCGAAGTACACCGTCACGGAGTCATCCTTCATCCAGAGCCACGTCTTCCTGGACTACCTTCGAGACCTCCGCAAGCAGCTCGATGCGCGCGGCTTGCTGGGCAAAGCTGCCCTTGTGCTCGACGGCCACGCCTCACACACGACCTTCGACGCCATCAGCTTGGGCATCTCCCTGGACATGGACCTATTCCAGCTTCCATCCCACACATCGCACATCACCCAGCCCTTGGACGTCGGTACGTTCGGAACCTTCAAGATGGAGATCACCAAGGTGCTCACGGCCTACCCGCTAAAGAACGGGGGGAGGAGTCCGGTGAAGCGCGACATGGCTGGCGTGATTGCGGAGGCATGGGCAGGGAGCTTCACGCCTGAGAACAACAAGGCGGCGTTCAAAGGGTCGGGCTTGTGGCCGGTGAGCATGGAGAAAGCTATCAACAGACTACACAGCAAGAGGAAGCAACGGGACCATGACCGCCCTATTCGTGAAGACCTCGCCGTGGTTGCCTCTAAGGATCAACTCGAGCGAGACCTCGGCCGCGCTGCCCTCCTGGAGCTGAAAAGACACGGGCTGATGATCGAGGGGCTCCGTGTCAACACCGTGTTCCTTGGCGGGCTCACCCGCCTCACCAAGCGCACCAAGGCTTTCGCGACCGTTCGGGCGGGGGGGGGGAAGCCCGAAGGTGGTCTGCTGTCCGCCGAAGAACATCTTGCTCAGGCCAAGAAGGACCAAGAAGCGAAGCAGGCAGCTGAGGAAGCAAAGGCGGCACGCGCGGAGGCAAGGGCAACGAAGGAGGCCAACCAACAATCTGGAGCAGTTGGTGGGCGGGGCGGCGGGCAGGGCGGCGGGCGGGGCGGCGGGCGGGGCGGCGGGCGGGGCTTCGGGCGGGGCGGCGGGCGAGAGGGGGGGAGAGGTGGAGGGCGCGAGGGTGGGAGAGGTGGAGGGCGGAGCGGGGGGCGTGGCGAAGGACGGGGCGGGGAACAGGACGGAGGGCGGGGAGAGAGGAGCGTGAGGGTTGAGCTAAGCGGGACGCGGACGGCGATCAGGGGGCGCGGTGGCGGTGGGCGAGAGGGGCGTGGCAGAGGACAGGGTGGCCAGGACCGCACCACTGGTGCTCGTGGAGAGCAAATGGGGGCGGGAGGGCGGGGGGGGGACGAGGGGAGAGGTGCTCCCGTCCAAGGAGGAGCGGGACGGCCGAGAGGGGCGGCGGTTCCCTTGGTTCACCCGCCGCCGTCGGCGGCTCCCATTTCTTCCCGAGGACGGCAGCGGATCCCGACACCAATCGTTGATGTTTAGACCAGGGCAGATGCTTTGCGGTTGTTGTTGTTTTTCTGGGCTACTATTGTCTAGGCGGTGGATGAATTAGACTATACGAGTAAAGCAGAAGATTAGGTGGTTTGTGGGGGCATGTGGAGATGGTTAGGGTGCACCCCAGCAGCGCGGGGGGGGCGGGGGGGTTGATACCGGGAAACCCGGGGATATGGTAATTTTGTCCCCGGGCATGCATGATTTTTTTTTTTTTTTGCAACAGCGTTTCTTGTGATAAAACAAACCTACACACCAAAGGGCGTCTTGTGGGAATGTAAGATGACTGTGAAAAAAGGGAAATGGCCTTGGGGTTCTTGCGGAGAATTATAGCGGTAGCGGCCGGGTCAAGGGGTGCCTGTTTGAACGGGCATTACATCACATGCGCGAAGTTTTTCGTCCTAATTTTTTTTTCTTGAGTCTGTATATGATCAGATTAGACCCACTGTGCAATAATCTCTTAGTTTTGGCTCTTTTCATGTGTGCAGCACCGCCGTACGGTCAAAAATGGGGTAAAATCCGTCCCCGATTTCAGGCGGAAAACCCGGGGATGTGAGGATTTTGTCCCCGGGCGTGGATCGATTCCATTTTTTTTTTCCTAAACGGATATATGTTGCGACAGACGTATCTCCACAAAAAATCAGATCATGAAACGCTTCAGAACGCACGAAAGCAGCTACAAAGCTAAAGTGTTCGTTAATTGGGGGGGGGGGTGTTTTCCTGCATTTTCAGCTAAACAATGGAATGCACTGCATCAGCTCTATCTCGTTGTAGGGAGGTAGCCTATAATATAAGCTATCGTCCGGTACCCACAAATACATCATACTCCTCTTCATGCCCGAGAACGAGCTGTTGGCGCGAGGGGTGGCTTAAGCGTTCGTTAATTGGCCGGTTTACTCTACAGCACGGCCCACATACAGCAGTGAACTCGTAGTGTGCAAGCCACCCACCGCGGAGCCTCGAATGTGCGGGGCTCCTTCTTGCACAGGTCGGAATGTTTTGTGCCCTTGTCTGATGTCGGCGGGTGTTGTGATAGCGTTCGGTCCGCGACCGCACGCAAAACACATACTCGCCGCGCGGTAACCCCGCCGCCAGGGTGGATGTGCGTCTGTTCCGACGACCGTGAGTACCGTTTGGGTTATGCGGCACCACGAACAGCAGCAAGATGACCGCGACAACGAGGAAGCAGACGGCAGCAGCACCAGGGAACTGCGGCATCGCGCCGCCTCCTCGGCCGCCGCGGCCTCGGAAGCGGGGCGTCTCCACGGAGAGAGGGGCAGGAGACACCACTCGAGCGCGGACATTCGCCGGCCGGACGTGAGCGCCCTATCCGTGGAGATAGCGGTGGCCACGGTGCAGAACAATGAACGGCAGCAGAGGCAGCAACGCGAGCAGCACAACGCCGCGCAGAGTGAGCACCACGTTCCTGGGGGACTGACTGAAGTAGGAACAGCGGCAGCGGCAGCAGCAGCAGCTGGAGCGGGCAGCAGGAAAGCCCCCCACAGACGAGCGAGTTCTCTGGTCTCGCGTGTGTTCGGCGGGAGCGCGGGCAGCAGCGCGGCGAGGGGCTATCGGGCGGCTTCGCTGGGGGAGCGGCACGGTAGGGACTCATCCAGTACCGACAGAGCGAGCTCGACAGACCGAAGGCACGAGGGCGACGAGGAAAAGCAGGCAGAGCAGTTGAGAGACGAGGAAGAGGAAGAGGAGGAAGAAGACTCCCAACACCAGCACGTCGTTCGGCGTCACGAGCCCCAGCGCTCGGTGCCCAGCGTCGTCGATCTCTTCCGGCTCGAGCCCTCGAGCTTCACCCAGCCTACTACGCCCGCGGCCGCTCTCCCTTCTCCCTTGGTTGCCGGACGTACTCCTCCCGCTGTTGCTGCTTCCCTCTCGGCGGAACATCTTGCCGCATCCCCCCAGGCCTTCTCTGTAGGGCAGCACCCGCAGCAGCAGACGTCACCAGCTGCTCGCTATGCGCCCTCCACTCCGCCCCCGTCAGTGTACCGAGACGAGAGCGCGGCAACGGTTGCACCTTCGCCACCACCACCAGACGGATCGAATCACCACCACGCGACCGGCGCGAGCAGGATAGGAAGGAGCGGCGGCGACGATGCACGTTCTTCGGCTCCTCCCCGGGGTAGAATCAGCGACGACGGATGGCACCAGCCGCATCAGGACGGGGATCAGCAACAGCAGGGCGTGCTGCCGCCGCCGCGGCCACTGGAGGTCTGCACGGCGGTGCCGGTGGGGGTCACGGCCCGCGACAAGGAGCAGCAGCAGCTCCTGTACGGCGGCGCGGTGACTTATTCCCTCCGGGGGGAGATCGATGATGATGATGATGATGATGCCGAGGGCGAAGAAGTCGACGACGCGCTCGGCGCCTTGCAGCAGCAGCAGCAGGAGGAGCTCAGCCTTGCCCGCCACCTGAGGGAGGCTTCCACCAATACGGTGGACGCCGGGAGGGAAGGTCGTATGGCGTACGGCGGCGGCGCGACGGGGGACTGGGGCGCGGGGCGATCAGACGGGTACCACTTGCGACAGAGGGAGGTACGAAAGGCATCAAGTAGGCATATGGGGGTTTGAGGGGCACGGGATATATACGCAGCAGTAGTATTGTTTCGCCGGCCTGCTGGTGATGGGTCTCTTCGGTGACGGTGTGCTCATGTTCGTGCCTTTTTGGGCAGCAGTTATCCAACCCGTTTGCTGCTGTTCTCGCTTCTGGACGGTGTTTTTTTTTGTTTTTACAGAGACAATGGTGACCCTCGTGATGTGTGCACAGCACGAGTTTTAATAGTGCAACGTTTCCGCCACAACAACGACACGGCCCCGCATTTTTATGTATGGTAGTTGGGGAAGTATCTCGAACGGGAAGTCTTTCTGTGTTCGTATTTGTTTCCAGATCCTACGAGGAGCCTCAGCATCACTTTCTACCCGTGTGTTGAATGCCCCATGAATAGTCCAACTGCTGACTAGTCCATGCCTTTCGTCCATGATGCGTGCGGAGAATCACGGGGAGTGAACACGGCCTGCTTTCGAAATGCCCATTTATTCGATGTTTTCGCATCAGCAAGCCACCGCCAGATTTTAAGGTATGGCGGAGGTGCGCCACCAGACAGCAAGGAACACTGCCGATATCGCCGCGCTGGGTTTTGTCGGTAAGTATCGGGGACAAGCGTACCATGACCGGTGTAAGACGCGAACCTTTCAGATAGTCGGAAGCGCCAAGCTGAAACTATTACACCAAGAGTCGTGTCCAGCGGTAAGCAGAACCTAGTCTACCGAAACTTCCCAAAATATGCTCTTTAGTAGCGTCATGTTCTCTCTCGGTCTACTGTAGCTGCAGTACTGTGTAAGGGCAACACCTGCCCGCTGCGACGTGTTTCCTGTGCACCTGCCCGCCACTGCTCTTGGCTCCTTTCCGCGAGAGAGGATTAGCTCACTCGACTACGTGGTTGTTGTCTGCGGGGTACGCAGAACGCTGTCCCGCGCGCAGTGGTCGGCAACACTGCAACCGCATTACGCAAGTACTTCCGAAGGTCTCGTGGTATAATTAATGTGCAAGGAAAATTTTCTTGCGCCTGCCGTCGCCTGCGTTCAGGCGTCAGTGCTCTCCTGCTTGGTAGTCGAGTGCTTTGAGAGGCAGCGGGTGTTTGTTTGGTTTCTTTGTGCTTTGTCGTCCGTCCTGAAGTGATGAGGCAAGCAGTGCTGGGCCCACTTCGGTCTTGTCCATGGCTATGTGGCGTTGTGTGTTGAAAAGCGGGCTTCAAATGTCCCAACGGACGTGATTGTAAACGTTTGGCGGGCGTCACGAACTCCTATGGAATGTCGCTCCCTTTTATTTGTTCGGAATTGCCTGTGGCTAGTATCTCTACGCATGTGTGCTTCTCTCGCAGAGGGTATACCGCAGGTAGACCGCTTGCCCAACTTGAACTTCCTTTTTCAGACTCGCGACGAAGCGTAGACACGAAGCCACACAATATGACTAGTGTTCAACCCCTCCGCTTGTACAGCGATCTTCCACACATACACGCACCCCGCCGACAATAGCACGCTTATATCGTGAAGGACGCGTTCTACGACCGCAAAAACAACTTCGTAATGCCCCCCCCCCTCCCCCACCCGGTGTTTGCCATCGGGATTGGGTTTTCGTCGCTTGGCAACGACGTTGTAAAACAAGCCAATCCACTTCGTGAGCTCGGCAACCAAGTTGCCGGTTTTTATTTTTTTACCTCTCGTTTTTTTTTTGGCGGTAACCATAATGGTGGTCGAGTAGATCATGTTG